AAGAGAAAAGAGAAAAAGAAAAAGAGAAAAGAAAGAAAAAGAGAAAAAGAGAAAAGAGAAAAAGAGAAAAAGAAAAAAGAAAAAGAGAAAAGAGAAAAAGAGAAAAAGAGAAAAGGAAAAAGAGAAAAAAGAAAAAGAGAAAAAGAGAAAAGAGAAAAGAAAAAAAGGAAAAGAGAAAAAAAGAAAAAGAAAAAGAGAAAAAGAGAAAAGAAAGAAAAAGAGAAAAGAGAAAAGAGAAAGAAAAAGGAAAAGAAAAAAGAGAAAAGAGAAAAAGAGAAAAGGAAAAAAAGAAAAGAGAAAAAGGAAAAGAGAAAAGAGAAAAGAGAAAAAGAGAAAAGAGAAAAAGAGAAAAAGAGAAAAGAAAAAGAAAAAAAGAGAAAAGAGAAAAGAGAAAAGAGAAAAGAAAAAGAGAAAAAGAGAAAAGAGAAAAGGAAAAAGAGAAAAAGGAAAAAGAAAGAAAAAGGAAAAAGAGAAAGAGAAAAAGAAAGAAAGAAAAGGAAAAAAGAGAAAAGAAAAAGAGAAAAGGAAAAAGAGAAAAAGAGAAAAAGAGAAAAGAAAAGAAAGAAAAAAGAGAAAAAGAGAAAGAGAAAAGGAAAAAGAGAAAAGAGAAAAGAAAGAAAAAGAGAAAAGGAAAAAGAGAAAAAAAGAGAAAAAGAGAAAAAGGAAAAAGAGAAAAGAGAAAAAGAGAAAAGAGAAAAAGAAAAAGAGAAAAGAGAAAAAGAGAAAAAGAAAAGAAAAAAGAAAAGAAAAAGAGAAAAAGAGAAAAGAGAAAAGGAAAAAGAGAAAAAGAAAAAAAGAGAAAAGAGAAAAGAGAAAAAGAGAAAAGAGAAAAAGAAAAAGAGAAAAGAGAAAAGAGAAAAAGAGAAAAGGAAAAAAGAGAAAAGAGAAAAAGGAAAAGAAAGAGAAAAGGAAAAAGAAAGAAAAAGGAAAAAAAGAGAAAAGAGAAAAGGAAAAGAGAAAAGAAAAAAGAAAAAGAGAAAAGGAAAAAGAGAAAAAGAGAAAAAGAGAAAAAAGAGAAAAGAGAAAAAGAAAAAGAGAAAAGGAAAAAAGAGAAAAGAGAAAAGAGAAAAAGAGAAAAGAGAAAAGGAAAAAAAGAAAAAAGAAAAAGGAAAAGAGAAAAGAGAAAAGGAAAAAGGGAAAGGAAAGAAAAAAGAGAAAAAGAGAAAAGGAAAAAGGGAAAGGAAAGAAAAAAGAGAAAAAGAGAAAAGGGAAAAGGAAAAAAAGGGAAAAGAAAAAAAAAGGAAAAAGAAAAGAGAAAAGGAAAAAAGAAAAGAGAGAAAAGGAAAAAGAGAAAAGAAAAAAGGAAAAAAGAGAAAAGAGTAAAAGGAAAAAGAAAAGAGAAAAGGAAAAAAGAGAAAAGAGAAAAGAGAAAAAGAGAAAAGAGAAAAGAAAAAGAGAAAAGAGAAAAAGAGAAAAGAAAAAGAGAAAAGGAAAAAGAGAAAAGAGAAAAAGAAAGAGAAAAGAGAAAAGGAAAAGAAAAAGAAAAAGAAAAAAGAGAAAAGAGAAAAGAAAAAGAGAAAAGAAAAAAAGAAAAAAGAGAAAAAGGAAAAAAGAGAAAAAGAAAAAGAGAAAAGAGAAAAGGAAAAAAAGAGAAAAGGAATAAAAGAGAAAAGAGAAAAAGGAAAAAAGAGAAAAGAGAAAAGGAAAAAAGAGAAAAGAGAAAAGGAAAAAAGAGAAAAGAGAAAAGGAAAAAAGAGAAAAGAGAAAAGGAAAAAAGAGAAAAGGAAAAAGAGAAAAGAAAAAGGAAAAAAGAGAAAAGGAATAAAGAGAAAAGAAAAAAGGAAAAAAGAGAAAAGAAAAAAGGAAAAAAGAGAAAATAAAAAAAGGAAAAAAGACAAAAGAAAGAAAAGAAAAAAGAAAAAAGATAAAGAAAAAAAGGAAAAGAGAAAAAGGAGAAAAGAAAGGAAAAAGGAAAAAGAGGAAAAATGAAATAAAAAAAGAAAAAAAAGGATAAAAATGAGGGGAAAAAACCCCAAACAACAGAAGAAACCCATATATGTGATCTTATCACTTGTGCCTATTCGAGGTGCAAGAAATGTGTGCTCTGTATTAAAAACAACACTTTTAAAACAAAAAAGGGGGAATGTGACTCCCCAAGTAGACAAAGCTGTGGTTACCCTTCATTTTTTGGACTTGAATTAACAAGTATTAAACAAAAACCTCCCAGCAGACACCTGATCGCAAGGTCCTCTCGAGTGCTCAGCATGGGAAGGGCTCTGCTTGTGTTCTGTCTCCCCCAGGACCCTGCTGGCTTCCAGCCCCTCGGTTGGCCCCTTGTCCTGAGTGGGCCCGGCCCGCAATCCCACTGTGCAGATGCAGAGGCTCCCTCAGGAATGCCGGGAGGAGGCAGGGAATGCTGAGCAGAGCAAGCCCTGCCCGGATGGCACCTGGGGCAGATGCTGTTCCAGGGGTAATTCCCTGTGTCTGCTGACTCTGACTGACCGGCCTCACGGCTCAGCCATGGCTGGACCTGTCACTCAGGGGCCTTCTTGGCTGCACCTGACGCTGGGATTGGTGTGACTGACAATGCCTTGACCATCCCTGTCAGTAATCCTGGTTGGTTTGAGTTGTATCACAGATGAAAACGTATCCACCCTCCATGTATCCCATCCTGGCCCTCTCAGCCGTGAACTCTGCGTGTGCAAACAAAGCAGGGACAGAGGTGGGACCAGGCGGTCACTCTGCACCTGCACTGAGGGAATGGGGGCGCAAAGGGAGGAGCCACCTTGCCTGAGTGCTTGGAGAGAGACAAGGTTGTTTCTCCGAGTGCAAATGCACTGGGACCAGCCTGCAGGACCAGCCTGTGTTTTTCTCTGGTGGCTGAACAGCCCCCACAGGAGGCGAGGGCAACGTGGGGGATCAGTGCTCTGCTTTGGGGCGATCCTGGGAATTCCGGTGCACTGAAAGACAAACAGCAGGTGCTGCTCCTGAGGGAATGGGAATAAAAGGGGACACCAAAAAGTGTTGTTGGACAAGTCCTGAAATGGAACTCTGTGTGTGCAGCCTCATTTTCTCCTTCAGAGCCCACAGGAGAGGAGGGAAACAGTGGGGGTTGGGACCCCAAAATTGTTAGTGGGGTAAACTAGGTATTAAGAGGACCATGAAAAAGTGGGAGGAACAGGGAGAAGGGTGGAAAAGGAGGGGTAGTCTGGCAGGTCCGATGGTCCCATGGGGGACATTGGGCAGACGGGGATTGGGCAAAAGGGGGTGGCCCTCCTTTGCCCACCTTACTGTGGGGTGCTGGGGACTGCTGGATCCAATCTCAACCTTGGGTTATGCCAACAGTTTCAGTTTAGAGGAATTACAGGGGTGTGACTGAACCACTTTTGTACCCCAGGTTTTAAGGATGGCAAATCAGATCTATTGATAGAAATGAATTATTTAGGGTTGCAAATTATCAGATAAAAGATCTTCATCAGAATTATTTACTGCACAATAGAAACACTAAAACTACCAGTAGGACAGCATAAGATAGGACAGTGCTCTACACTAAAGCAATTGTTGAAGCAATTCTACTCAAGCTGGCACCAAAGCAAGAATTATGAATTAGAGATGGATGGAACTCCCCCAGACCAATGCTCATGGGGAGATCTCTGCTCTCAACCTCCAGCAGTGACCTTGGGGGTCCCCAGCCAAGGCAGGAATCTCCACACACCCCCCAAGAAGGGTTCTGTTGGCACAACCTGCCCCTGGGAAAGGGGACTGGAAAGGGATGGACTGACAGTCCCTGGACTCCAGGGGTTGCCTCACCATCAGGGGGTTCATTTGGGGTGGGAGCAGCAGCCGAAGCTCTTCCCACAGTCGGGGCACTCGTTACTGGTGGGTCCGTTGGTGTTTGGTCAAGGCAGAGCTGTGGGTGAAGCTCTTCCCACACTCCCCACACTTGTAGGGCCTCTCCCCAGTGTGGATGCGCCGGTGGGTGATGAGGGTGGAGTTCCGGTTGAAGCTCTTCCCGCAGTCGGTGCAGCGGAAGGGCCTCTCCCCTGTGTGGGCCTGCTCATGCATGAGGAGATGTGAGCTGGTCTGAAACCTCTTCCCACATTCCAAGCACTTGTAGGGACGTTCCCCAGTGTGGATGCGACGGTGTTTGATCAGGGTAGATCTATCAGTGAAGCTCTTCCCACATTCCCCACACGTGTAGGGCATCTCCCCAGTGTGGATGCGCCGGTGGGTGTGGAGGCTGGAGCCATCACCAAAGCTCTTCCCACATTCCAAGCACTTGTAGGGCCGTTCCCCAGTGTGGATGCGACGGTGGGTGCGGAGGTTGGAGCTGTCTCTGAAGCTCTTCCCACATTCCCCACACGTGTAGGGCTGTTCCCCAGTGTGGATGCGCTGGTGTTGGATCAGGTTGGAGCTGTCTCTGAAGCTCTTCCCACATTCCCTACATGGGTAGGGCCGTTCCCCAGTGTGGATGTGCTGGTGTCGGATAAGGTTGGAGCTCTGGTTGAAGCTCTTCCCGCATTCCCCACACGTGTAGGGCCGTTCCCCAGTGTGGATGTGCTGGTGGCTGAGGAGGTGGGAGCTCTGCCTGAAGCTCTTCCCACATTCCAAGCACCTGAAGGGCTTCTCCCTGCTGGGAGGCTGCTCAACAGATACACCACACAACAGGGCCAAAGGGGCACTGACTTCCCCTCACCTGCCTGGGGGATCCGCAGCATCTTCGTCTTCCTTGCAGCCTCCTCCTCCATCTGCCCAAGCTTTGGGAAGGACAAATCCTGCTGGGGAGAAACAAGGGCTGAGCGCGTTGGCTTCGGGGTTCCTCCTGCCCAAGTCCACCTCCAGAACTCACCGGGCATCCTGGGACCATAAAAACCTCCAAAACTTCACCATTCAACCCAGAAAAGCCCAAATCACCGAGATTCAGGCACAAGGCCTGGCTGTGCCCAAGGCAACCAAACAGCCCCAGAGTCGGCAGGACGGCAGAGGCTGTTCCAGGGCAACAAGAGCAGAGCTCTCCTCACTCCCCTTAGCCCCCTCTCCCATCGGCCCCCCAAACCCCGTCTCCCTTTGGGGGTGACCCCCCTGCCCCTTGTGCTCCCTTTGGGGGTCCCACCCGCTCTTTTTGCTTGTCTTGCCCCTTTTCCATTGGGACAGGCAGGGCCTGCAGGAGAAGGCACAGGAACAACCTGTGTCCCCACAGTGCCAGTGCTGTCCCTGCTCCTCCCTGCAGGCTCCGTGGCCGGGCACACTTTGTGTTCCTGGGTGCCACCAGCTCAGCAGCTGCAGCCGCTCCAATCAGCGCCCGCAGCTCTGCAGCAAAGCCCCAGCTCACCTGGCACACAGGGCATGGACACAGCACCTTCTCGCTGCTGGGCACTCCCAGCTCAGCCTCTTCCCCAGCACGGGGCTCTCCTGCCTCAGCACCACCTCTGCCTTCCACTTCTTCTCAGGGCCACCTCAGGGCCACCTCAGGGCCTGCTCTCCAGCACAGGAACCTGCAGGGAGGGCAGATGATGTGCAAGCCCAGGGGGGCCTGCTTGCACTGGCCTGGGGGCTTCCTTCTCCTTCAGGAACCACCCCACAACTTCTCCTGCTTTTCTAACCCCACATCTTTGCAGACTGACTTTGTCTCTCTGTCTGCACAGACACATCTATCCCCTGTGGACAGAGCCTCCAGCATGTGCTGCCCTGGCAATGGCACCCAGAGAATCCCAGAATCAGCCGGCTTGGAAAAGACCTCCCAGATCATCAAGTGCACCCCTTGATCCAACCCCGCCGTGGTTCCCAGACCGTGGCACGGATGCCCAGGGGAGGGGCTTTGGGGATGAGGGCTCTCCCAGTAGAGCCCAGTGCCCCTCAGTGCCCTCCCAGTACAGCCGAGTGCCCCCAGCACAGCCCACTGTGTTCCTGTCCCAGGGTGCCAGGTGATCCCTCTTTGGTGGGGTTTGATTGGGATTTGGGGCATTTTGGGGGCCTCTGGGTGCATTTGGGGGAATTAAAAAAGGTCTTAGGAGCATTCAGGGTTAAAAGGGATCTGTGGATGGGGAGGTGATTAAAGGAAAAATAGGGGTTAGGAAACATTTGTGGGGCATTATTGGGGCCTGGTGGGGACAGGAGGGGCAGCACCACGAGCAGGTGAGTCCTGAGATCCCCCATGGTGTCCCCAAGACCCTCCTGGTGTCCTCAATTTCCCACTTGGCACCCCGAGACCCCCCTGGGATCTCCAGTGTCCCCAGGGCCTCCCCATGGCCCCAATTCCCCCATTGAAACCCCCCATTCCTCTGTCCCCAAACCCCTCCCCACTGTCCCCAAAACCCATCCCTGATGTCCCCAACCCTCCATGTCCTCCCAGAAGGCCCCCCTGGACCCTCTGACCCCAAAAATGGCCCCATCCCACCAAACTCACAAAAAGGTCAAGGGCATCTGGGGACACGCTGGGGACACTTGAGGGGCTTGGGGGGGCACTGGGTGATTACTGGGAGATACTGGGACACACTGGGGGGAACCAGGGGGTACTGGGAGGAACTGGGGGTTATTGAGAGATGCTGGGAGGGCACTGGGAGAGACTGGGTTATTAGTCGGGGATTACCAGGACACACGGGGGGACAGAGGGAGGTTAGTGGGTCATACTGGGGGTTACTGGGTGCTCACTGGAAGATCATTCGGCCATAGGGGAGGGCAGTTGGAAGTCACTGGGAAACACTGAGTGGTCACTGGAGGGGTTACTGGGACATACTGAAAGCCACTGGGAGTTCAATAGGCTATACTGGGGGCACTGGGATCCCCTTACCCGCATGTGGTTCATCTCCCTCACAAGACTTTGGGTGGCACCGCCAGGACCCCTCCCCTGAGGGCTGGGAGACCCCTTGAACCCCACTGCTGGGCTTTAGGGGACCACCGGGATCCCCTCCCTGTGGGGTCTCTGTGTGCTGAGTTTTGGGGGTCTCTGGGGTTCGGGGATGCATCAGGACCCACTTTCCCTGCGGTCGGTCCGCCCAGCCGGCAGGGGGCGCTGTGGCACGAGCAGCAATGGCGGCGGCGCGCAAAGCCTCACGGGTGTTGTAGTTTGCTTATGGGGACTCCGCCGGCGCCTGCGCAGTGCAGCCATGGCGTTTAAAACTCTCTCCTGAGGGGGTTCCATGGCCCCAGCCCTTTCAGGGACCCCCGGAACCCCTTCAGGCACCTTCACCCTCCCCTCTGAGCGCCCTCAGGACACCAAATCCCCTCCGCGAAACCCTGAGAGCCCCTCACGGACTTCAAAACCTCCTCGGGAACCCCCGAGCCCCTCCTCTCCACTCTGCCGAGCCTTCCAGCCTTTCCGCCCACAGCCGCGCTCCCCGCAGCCCCCGAGCGCATCCCCAGCCCCGCCGAAGGCCCCACCAGCTCTCACAAAGTCGGAGCAGATCCCGCTGCCGCCGCCATCGCTTTCCCGGCAGCCACTGCGGGGCTGTGCGCGCGCACTGCCGGCAGAGACCCCGCCCCGCCCCTCTTGCCGCGCGGGGCACGCCGGGAGTTGTAGTTGCAGCGGCTCAAAGCTCCAAACTCCCCCAGACTCAATTCCCCACGGGCGTTCCTGGGGCAGAGTGGGGCAGAACCGGGGCGGGGACGGGACGGGCATTGGGTGGAAATCATTATAAAAACTGTAACCCCTGCGTTGGAAGGGATGTGTGTGGGTTTGTATTCCTGGAGCCTGGAGGCTCATGGAAACCTCTGCTGCTTTTCTTACCTCCTATCTAGTTTTGCCTGGAGTCTTTTTCCCTCTGCAGCCTTTTAGGCAACAATGTTTATGGGGTTTATGAGGATATGGCCTTTATGAGTGATGCCCAAAAAAAAGGCAGCTTTAAAAAAAAGAACTGCTTAAAGGCAGAATTTTGAGCCTATAAACAGCAGCTCAGGCTGGACAAAAGCTCCGAAGTGTTTCAATAAAAACAAGCAATTTATACAGTTTCTAATCATGATTACAACATAATCACATGCATATTCTTATTATTGCATCATTAGATTACAATATTCATAGCAGGTGGAGTCGGGGTGGAGACTGAGGCGTGGTATCTATTTTGAGAAATAAATTAGGGTAGTTCCGGTCTTGCCTTCATCCTGGGGTCACAAATCTACTCATCTTCCTTGGGTGACTTCCATGACCTTTTGTTCTATCCATTGTTCTGTGTTCTGATCATCCAGGTTTGAAGAAAACCTTGGCTCTAGGCCTACTTTACTTATTCAAATGTCTACCTTGGCTCCTCTGGATGAGATTTATGTGTGTTGAGTTCTTTGTCTAGTGTTTGTTGTGGTTCCTTTAAGGTCTAATGCTCTTAGTACAGCACATTGCCTTCCTCCAAAAGTACAGCTTACAGTGAACGAAATACAGGGGGTAAGGGGGGCTCTTGTGGGTTTACAGTAAAAGTGTTTCGATTAACCCTTCCTGCTTCATGAGGAGAACCTCTTACGAGGTGTATGGGCTTTCTGAGGACAGAACCATTATGACCTGCATGGGCTTTATGCAGAGAGATCTTTTATGATGAGAGCTCTATCATGAGGTGTATGGGCTTTAAGAGGACAGAGCTTTTATGACATTTATGGTGTTTATGATGTTTGCCCCTCTGAGGTGCACGGGTTTTATGAGGACAGAGCCTTTATGAGGTTTATGGCATTTATGAGAACATCTCCTTTATGATGACAGCCCCATGAGGAGATTTATGGGCCTTATGACGACAGGGACTTTATGAAGCTTATATCATTCTGAGGTGTGTGAGGGTTATGAGAACAGTGCCTTTATGAGGCTACACCATTGTGAGATGGATGGGGTTTATGAGGAGAGAGACTTTACGATGAGAGCCTCTTAACGAGGTTTATGGGCTTTATGAGGAGAGCACCATTATGACAGGTAAGGGTGTTATGAAGACAGAGCTTTCATGATGAGAGTTCTTTTATGAGGTGTTTGGGCTCTATGAGGCCTGCACCATTGTGAGGCTTCAGCCACAGCTCCAACATGATCCGACACCAGGATATCAACACTAGGGCACGACCGTCCTCTTCCCCACCAGGCCTGTAGGGTTTTAGTCATGCAGTGTCAAAGATGCCCAAAAACTATAGTCTCCCTGGGAAAAGGGCTTATTTATGGAGATCACTGCTTTTCTGGAAGCAGAAAAAAATGTCCCTCAGCAGTCTCTGATTTGAAGGGGACCCTAAAAACAAGCCTCTTTTGGCAGGAACCCCACCCCCTGATGGGGTGACCCACCCAGCTCCTGTTGGGAAATGGAAGGCTCAAATTGGACATTATTGCACCATCTTTCAGGGAACAGAAGGAGCTCACAAAAATCCTCCCTGACAAGATGAGGTGACTGTAAATAGCTCAGCTGATTCTCCCCTTTCTGTGGTTCAAGGGGCACCCCCACACTCAGAGCAATTGCAGGATGGGGGGTTTCCTGATGCCTCAGCTGAGTGAGAAGGGGCAGTTTGGAAATATCGTGCTGTGGCTTTACAGGGACATCCAGGAGACAAAAGAGTCCCCGAAGGAGAAGGCAGGGCACAGGCAGGAGAATCAGGAGCAGTTTGGAGGGGATTTAACCAGGAACCTGAACCCTCTGTCTATGTTTACAGGGATTCTTTTACTGT